GGTGCAACTTGTTTCATAAAAAAAGAATAAAAAGGCTTACTTTCAGATGTGTCAGTAGGTTAGAAGTGTTTTTTCCTAAAGTAGAAATAATTCGTTCACAATATTTACACTTTGCTTTGATTTGACCATATCTAGAAGTAGTAGGTTTAAAGTGTTTATGTACCACTGAAGATAGCTTAGTAGTCATTTCAAATTCTCTCAAGTGACTTGATTGGATTAATAACTACATAATATAATAACTTTTAAAGTGGTTGGAGGGTACTGACCTGATTTAAACAACCTATGACCTTGTACTTCAGAGAAATTACTGTAATCAAAATTGTCTACAGGTTTCAGTTATTCCCATTATATCAAATACTTCTTATCCGACTGCTCTAAAGTCATCCATTTGATTTCTTATACTTTCAGTATTACAATAATAACAGTCTAACCTACCATTAAAACTACAGCATTTAATGCTAGCAATATGATAAGCTGAAAAGAGGTCCGAGTTTCTTTCAAAAATCGCGTTTCTAAGTCATTAAGGACTTAATCTAGCACTGAAATAAATATTGCAAGTCTTTACTATTTGTCAGGTGTCGAATATAAAGGATTTTTGATGAGCCTGCCTTTGAGTCACCCTTGGGACAATGATAGGTAAATTTAGTTTAGTTAGAAGCTCAATTGTTACGAGAAAGAAAAATCACAGAAGATTCTTCATCGCATTTTGTCGCTGCTTCTTCAGAACACCAAGGAAATCCACAACAAGACTATCAGCAGTCATGATTTGTCACAGACCACTAGATGAAACTGATGTTATGAAGTTAATGAGAAACTCTACAGTGAGATAAAGAATTCAACTGTTAATGAGGTTATAAGTATGGGAGATTTTAATTTTAGGCATATAGATTGGGAAATGTTAGAGTCAAATCATGAGGGAACTAATTTTTTAAAAATTGTTCAGGATAGTTTCCATCAACAATTGGTTAAAGAACTTGCTAGTAACAATGCCACTTTAGATTTATTGTTAATTTCTAATAAAGAAATGGTTGACAGGGTGCAAGTGATCATTGCTCAGTTATATTTGATGCATATTGAAGCAACTTGAAATTTTTGAGGAAATTTTACAAATTGCCTCAAGAGTTTTAGTATTTAAAATTACATATAATTAAAGCTTAATGGTTTTTGAAATAAGCAAGTAGGCAAAGATAGATATAAAAAGAAAAAGAGGCGACAAGAGGACGCCTGTGTTACGAAATAAGCCTTGAGAATTGATAAACAGGAACTTGATTATGTAAGAGGCATCGCCTAGAAGTAAGCAGCAAGACACGTGCATTACTTAAAATAAGTTTGAGAGGCGAGCTCAGAAACCAGTGACCAAGGTCAGCAGTGAGTTAGTAAGAACTGTTGTATAGCAACAGGATGTAGACACCAGTACATGTGACAGTTTGATGAAGTGCTGACCTCGCCCTCTTAGCACTAGGAAAGCTGTAGAAAAGTTTAGATTTGGTGAATCATATCAGCACTTTGAGGTAGTATTAGTTACAGCACATGGGTGTAGCAGTACAAGTGAATAGGTGGCCGGCTAACACCACTTATCTATGACCAATTATTGGAGAGTTTTGGTTTAGGTTCTGGTTTAGCCCGGGAATTCCCCTAAAGTACCCAATAGGAGCACAGGACTACTTGTGGGTGATGCTGTGTCCTAGTTAGTGGGTCGAATTAACACAAGGAAAATAGAGTTTAAAAACCCATGTCAGAGGCTGAAAAATCAGTTCTCCGCCGAAGTTCTCTCCAGGAAGAAAGTTCTCCAGGATGAAGATCTCCAAACCAAAATGAAAATAAAGTTCAACAATGTAGCCATGGCTTTAAGACTCCAACTCTACTGTAAGTATAGTCTCTCTCTCTTGATCGGCTAGTGTAGAAAATAGTAAGCATAAACAGTAAAGTTTTTATAAGTAATAATTTGATAAACTAATATTTTAAGTGTGTAATGTTTCCTAAGAATTAATGAATGTTAAATAAATACTATTGTGAGTGTTTACTCTTGGTCTGAGACTCATTTTCTTTAGTCTAACTGTAAACTCCTCGAGTTAGCGACTTGTGGTTCCACTCGTCACGACAAATCCTCCAATAAATTAATTTGGTGTGAAGAGTAGTTTTAATTGAAGCTCCAACAATTAAGCTCACCTGAGCGCTACTCGTCACAATATGGAGATAAGGAATAATGATATTTCATTTCAACAATGCAAAATTTGAAGAGAACAAGTGTTACCTGCAGTGAATTTGGCAACTGAATTAGTTGGAGATACTGCAGAAATGTGGAAAAATTTTAGAAATAAATTATGTATTCAAGATAGGCATGTTACTTTACACAATCAAGAGTGGCTGCAACTAAAAACAAGGTCCGTTCATAAAGAGTATGAATGATAAAGTTAAGGAAAAGCATTATAACTATGAGATGTTTAACTTGACTGGAATGATGGGAGATTTGCAGGTCAAACTGGAAATCAAAGAGTATGTGGAAAAGGCTGAAAATGTGAAAATTAATAGTAAGGATTTCGTCAAATACATTAAGGTTAAACAAAATGTCAGAATAGGAGTAGGGCCTTTGACGGATGACAGAGGAAGGCTAATATCTGATGATTATGGGATGGCTGAGTTATTAATTTCGACATTTTCTTTACTTTTTACAAATAAATATTTAAACAATATTTCTCACTCTGAACAGTTGCTAGATGGAAACAAGATTGAACAAACTGATCACGCTAATTCTGAGCTTGTTAAGAAAACTTTGAGAAGTTAAAAAAATGATAAAGCTTCTAGGCTAGATAATATTTTCCTAAAGGTTTTGAAAGAGGTTAAGGATTGGATATATGAGCCACTTGCTACTATTTTTTAAATCCTTGAATAGTTGGCAGAAGATTGATAGAGGATAAAAATTGTTCCAGTAACTATAAGCCTATTAGTCTAACATCAATGGTGGGAAAAGCTTTTGAAAGTCTAATAAAAGATGCTTTGTAAAGTCAGTTAACAAAGTTTACAATTTTGTTGGATAAGCTGCATGGTTTCATTAAGAGAAATCTTGCCTTACAAATCTTTTAACATTCTTTAAAGAGGTTACTGCTTATATATATAAGGTTACGGGTATATATATTTGGTGCCACATAAAACAGTTGTTAAAAAGTTATCACCGTAGATATGGGGATAGGCTGGCTCACTTGACAGAAAACTGGCTAAATGGAAGAAAGCAGAGAGTTGCTGTAAATTTAGTTTAGTCAAACTGGATTAATTTCACGAGTGGAGTACTTCAGGGCTCAGTGCTAGGACTTTTGCTCTTTTTGATTTAGTTCAATTACATAGATGGAGGGATGATCAATAGGTTATTTAAATTTGTTGATATCATTAAAGTTTTGGGTGTTGCTGGCTGTGAGTAGAATGCTACAGCTTTACAAAAGGATCTGGGTTATTTGGGAAGTTAAGCGAATGAGTGGCAGATGAATTTAAATATAATAAATGCAAGGTAATGTATGTGGGATATCACAATTTGAATTATGAGTATAATTTTGATGGGAATAACATTAACAGTGTTCTGGAAGAAAAATATAGTGGTGTTCTGGTTCCTCAGTCTCTTAAATAATCCAAACAATGGGCTGTTGCTAGTGGCAGGGCAATTAGGATTTTAGGTTGTATCTACAGAAATATTGAAAACAAGTCTAAAGAGGCTATAATGTCAGTGTATATGTCATTGGTTAGGCCACTATGTTCAGTCTTGGTTTTCTTACCTAAAGAAAGACATTAAATAGCTATAAAGTAATATATGGGATGGAAAGGTTGTCATATTAGGACAAGTTAAGATATCTGAAATTGTTTTAACATGAAATAAGAAGAGATACAGAGATTTGACTGAGGTGTTTAAGATTGTTAAGGAAATTTATGGTGTTGATGCATCATGTCGCGGGTTCGAATCTCCGTCCCACCAAACATGCTCACCCTTTCAGCCGTGAGGGCGTTATAATGTGACGGTCAATCCCACTATTCGTTGGTAAAAGAGTAGCCCAAGAGTTGGCGGTGGGTGATGATGAATAGCTGCCTTCCCTCTAGTCTTACATTGCTAAATTAGGGACGGCTAGCGCATATAGCCCTCGCGTAGCTTTGCGCGAAATTCAAAAACAAACAAACAATCTACTATACACCAATCTAGTGACAGTAAATAATGATAATAAACTATTTATGAAAGTATATAATATATGTTCCTACACAGCAACCTGAATCAACTGTTAACAAACGCAGTTAAGATACTTTAAGATGTAAGGTTTCAATACATGTTCTTCATTTTATGAAAATAACTAATATGCAAGCCATGAAGTTTTGACTTGTTGCTTATTTACATGCGAATAAATCTAGCAATGCAAACACTCGCTATTTGAACGAAAAATAGACTCACGTACTAACTTTTGGATCTTTTTTCTGTGCTCAATAATTCAAACTAGAAAGAATTGATTTCTTTAAAATTTCATTTGTGGGAGAGGTATTTTCGGTGTAATAAACAATCACATTGCAAACTGCAAGTGAAGTGTCCCTTTTTAAAATACCTACTGAAAAGTTGATTTGTTTGGAAAAGATTATTGAACAATGCCAACACACAAAAAGGCATAATACATTGACTATATGTACAGCAGAAGCTATAAGCAAACTAAACACTGCACCCATATCAGCATAACATTAAGACAATAATCAACTTCTAAAAGCAGTGCTATTTTAAAAAGTTTATATTAGTGACGTTTATTATTTTACCAAGTAGAAAACAAAATATATACAGATTATTTTCACAACCTTATAAACCTTTTGTGTTATACCCACGTAAACAGTACGCCCAACAAAATGTGTTAAATAGTAACAATAATAAGATGTGATGTTTCTGAATACAGAATCGCGGTTAGAAATGAAAAGTTTGGAACTGAGTTTTATATTTCTTACATATAAGGTGGGTATATTTTTCATTTCATGAAATCTACTGTTATGTATTCATAAAAAATATATGGCTGAAGTAGAGCCCCAGGAGAACGGTGGAATAATACCCATGTATGTGTTTCCTTTTCTTTCGTTTGCTGTGTTTCAGTTGTCATCCTCTTCGTCTGGAAGTATTCCGATCCTCCGGCCTATGCACTTAACAGACTTGGTGACTTCCTCTTGAACTAAATTAAAGGACATGGCCAACAGAGCCATGCCAAACAATAAGTAAAGTGCGCACAAACCCAAGGTTAGTTGTGCGTCTTCGGATAACACAGCTGTACCGGGGACCAAGTCTCCAAATCCAATAGTTGTCAAGGTAACGAAGCAGAAGTAAGAGCTATCCAAGAAATTCCAATCTTCCCAAATGGTAAAAAGAAAAGCACCGCCACAAATGTAACCAATCACGATGGCGGAACACAACCAGATGGGCACACTCACTTCTTCTTCTTCTTTGTCATTTCCCTCAGATCCAGACTCTTCCTCCTCTTCCAGGTTAAGATCCAATATACCATCCTGTTGACGGGTCTGCAAACTAAATTGATCAGATCGACGAATTTCTCCTAGCGGTAGGCTATAAGAATAAGAAAGTCCAGGACGTTCCATAGACGGACGAGAGAAGTCAGCGGGAACAATTTCTTCTTTTTCAAAAACGTACTTGTTAGAAATCACAGGAATACGACCAGAATTCATATTGTCTGCACTGTCAGTCTGTTGAGGGGCACTATTTTCAGGAGTAGAGTACTGAGGTGATCTAGGAATTGCAGACGATGTTGAGACAGTAATTATAGGAGAACTTAGGAGTGAGATAGGACTACGGGTTTCAATGTCTGACAACGTGGTACCTGGTGCAGTGCAATAGCTGCTCCTGTTTATGTTGTCCACATGAATCTCTTGAGTGGTCTTCCTTCCATATTCCATGGTTGAACTTTGGCCTGATGTGTAACGTTCAATATGGCGGATGGAAGACCGCGATTTCCGGGACTTTTTGTGCGGCTTGATGCAGAGATAGCAACATACTTTCCAGTAAATGAACTTAAAGGACTGAGCCATAGCATCCCCGATGTTAGACAGGCACAGCAGCATCAGTGGAATACCCACGATGGCGTAGAGAAGAGTTACTAACTTTCCCCAAGGAGTTTTCGGGGCGATGTTTCCATAGCCTGTACAAGAAAATAAAAAGAGTGTTCCTATATATTTTGTCTTAACCTTAAACAATTAAGTATAACTAACCACAAACTTTAGCTATAAATTAATAATTAATCTAGAGTTTCTTCTTTTTTTTAAAAATCTTTTGGTGGACCTGTTTGTTTGTTTGATACAGATTTCGCACAAAGCTACACTAGGGCTATCTGCATTATCTGTCCCTAATTTAGCAGTATTAGTCTAGAGGGAAGACACCACCTACCGCCACATCTTGGGCTACTCTTTTACCAACAAATAGTAAGATTGACCATCACATTATAACGCCCCCACGGCTGAAAGGGCGAACATGTTTGGTGTGACGGGGATTCGAACCCGCAACCCACACATTGCGAGTCGAGCACCCTCACCACCTGGCCATGCTGGGCCTTTGGTTCACCTCGACCTCTTCCTCTCCCTGCACTATATTAATTTATTCCCATAGAATATTTATATAATTACTATATGAGGGTCAGAGATTATGCTATTAGCACGTACTCTGACCCTTTCAAGGCCATGTCCA